TAAGGATCGAGCCATTGGAAAAACCTACATTAATGTAAAAGATCTATAAGAATGGCCTTAAAGACAACTTTCTGTTGTATCATCGAAGTGAAGGATACGCAGAGAAGAATGAGTGATTAATATATTTATTCAGCACCAGGATCCGGCGCTAACGGATACATACAAAAAAAAAAAAAAAAAAAAGAACAATAAATTATAAAACAATTAACAAGACAACTTACAAGGAATAGAGGAGGCCCAAATCCTGTATAGCCAAACGAAGTAAAATCAGTTCGAATATTAATCAGCTTGGTATCAAATTATTAATCAACCTATTAATCAACTGTTGAAGTCCTTAACCGTAAACTATATAAGACTATGAGGCAGGCCATCTGGTGGAGTGCTGAAGGGGTGCTAGCTACTATACAACACTTTTGTAGCTCTAATTACTGTTTATATCTTACTATTACAGTCAGGTTATGCTACCAATGTGCAGAAATTCGTAACGTAAGTTACCAATTGATTACAGAAGTAATAAAAATGGAATCTCCTATTATGTACCGTTTTCCTTGATGACGTGGAAAATCATGGCTCTCCACAACTTTCTGTTCTTTGTAACTTTTAAATGTGGTCTTTTTGTTATCGATCCTAAACCCTATTTTTCCATCTATTTACACAAGTTCATCGTTCTTCTTCTATGTGCTGGCGACCATTGCTCTTCACAATTTTTTTTAACTTTCTATTGTATCGTCTAGGTGAAGGATGGACACAGAAGAATGAGTGATTAATATATTTGTTCAGCATCAGTATCCGGTGCTAATGGATGCATACAAAAAAAACACAGAACAATAAGTTACAAAATAATCATCAAGCCAACTTACAAGCAATAGAGGAGAGTCCTTAATAGTAGACTATTTAAGGCTATGAGCCAGTCCATCTGGTAGAGTGTTGAAGGGGTGCTAGCTAGATATTAATCAATTGTTGAAATCCTTAATCGTAGACTATTTAAGGCTATTATCCAGTCAATATGATAGAGTGATGAAGGGGTACTAGCTACTCTACAACACTTTCACTTTGTGATCTAATAAGAAAGACTGAATCCGTTCAGAATTTCATCCAGAAATGCTATAACATTTTAATTTATGAAGAAAATCTTCATGCCAAGTTGTAGAGAAGACCGGCATTCCAAACCCTATCAAAGTCTTTCAAGATATACAAAACAACAGTCCAAGCTTGACCATTCTTATCTAAAACCTGACAAACGCTTTCAGCAATAATCGTTAGCACATCAGCAGTTGTCTTAGAGAAGCGAAAGCCATATTACTTATCTGAAAATAAACCTTACGTGGTGTTATGCTTAATCAGAGTCAATTAGAGCCTTTAGGACTTTACTTAAAAAAAGGTAGAATACTAATTGGTCGATAGTTTGAAGAATCAGACCGTTCGCCTGAGCTATTAAAACTGGAACGCCATATTTCCATTCTGCTAGACATCATGAATCAACAAGGCATTTATTATAGAGTTTAGAGAGAACAGGAGCCATTTCAAGAGCACATTTCCTAAGAACTGTTGCAGGGATACCATTAAGTCCATATATTTTTATCAGGATCCAGCTTAATGATAGCAGAAAACATGAACGGAGTCATATGTTGTTATATAGGAGTAAAGTGTCATGGCCGACACTGGAATTTAAACACGGATAACCAGAAAGCAAACACAGGCGACCCCATTATTGAATTAAGTGGATCACGTGACCATTGGGGGAAATGCATAAGTATGGTGTAGCGTGACGTCTAAATTATCACCATTTCTATTCTATCTTCTATTACTATACGGTTCGCTATTCTCTATACTATTCACTATGATATGTCCCGGAAAAGGGATATATTTGAACGAAGTAGCTAAGTGGTTTTTGGCTACTATAACCAAGTAGAATACGGTAGCAGTAATCGACTGGTACACGTCGTAGTCGCAGGTAAGAAGTGTAGATCAATGGCGTAGTCCAATGGGCGCCATTATAGACTTAGCTCTCAGACTAAGGCTCTTTGACTCTCCTACACGTCTGTCGGTATTTATGACGGACACCAGCCAATCACATTCCATTGAAGGGCAACACCGGTGTACGCATATTCCATTATATCACACTATTTCTTCAATATTTCTTTATACTGATCACTATACGGATTACTATTAGGTGGTTACTTTTCGAGCGAATATTATCAAGCAAGTATTATTAGTGCGAGTGTTATTCGAAGGCGCCGGAAACCAGTATTGTTCAACGGCGTTACTATAGTTGTATCTGCGATTACAAAGTCTCTACAACAGCGAGCATTACGAAAGTGATAACGATTATTCGTTGACATTACAAAAGTGGCAACGAGTGTTCGTTGACATCACAAAATATTCCTATCACGCAACAGAGACTCGGTTCTAAACAAAAAGTCAGGCGATAGTTCTCTAGATAAATCAAGACTAGAATTTGAAGATAATTTACGAACAAAATATAAATATAATTCTATCCAATAAATCCACATTCGGGTTCAATAACTGCTTTTTGTGTGAGAACGAGATCGTCTATATGCCCGAATTAAATGGCCTTGGTTCATATCGGACATTACTCTGACTATGGCGGATTTCAAAAGACAACGTTCCACACGGAGTAGTCCATTGGATTGAGACCTGGGGAGTTAGGAGATCAAATGTTAGGGGTTATGGGATCAAGAGAATTTTCACCCATACATTCCTGCATTACTTGAGACTTTGTGATGGTGCAGAGTCTTGCTGAAACACATAAGGCTTTCCACTGCGTACACTGTCTATCCAGGGTTTAACAAATGTTTCCAGGACCTCAATATAGGCAACAGAATTAATTCAGAAGGCCTTAAAGAAGTGAGAAGGCATCACATGTCTTTCATTGCTGAGATCTCCAAAAGCCATGAGTGTTACAGGACATTTTGTGTGCATATCTGTTGCAACTTCAGAAGGGTCTGAACAATGTCATTTTTTATCTGTTAAATTTCTGATCCTGCTGAAGGTTTTTTTTTTCTCGTCTAAGAAAAAAACAGATCATGACAGCTCCTGCTGGATATTTAAGTTTCTTTAAGAGCCTTTTTAGATCTGATTAAGAGATTTTCTTTTGTTTTTGTTTTTTTTTTTTTTTTTTTTCTGATATAAATTGACGTTTCTTCATCACATAAGACCTTATTCTGAAATGTTTTCGTAGACATCATTTCTTAATGTTCTTTCTGACACAGAAATCTTTCGCAAAATCTTTCGCAAAATGACATCATGGATTTTCTGGGATTGTCATCAATGGTCTGCTGAACTTGCTGGATAAATTCAGGTGTTCTGGTGATGCCAGAGAGCTTGTAATGTTTTTAACACTGATATTGGTAATTTCTTTTGAACTTCGGTCATTAACTCCTTACGAACGTTGGAGACGAAAAGTCTGGTAACTTTTAAAAAAAAGAGATATCACTAAATCGCTAGCCTCAGGGTTTGAAGCCACACTTACCGTATGCGGGCCTGATGATGAACCATATCTCATGAGGACCACAAGTCGGAAAAGTTACCCCGTAACTTCTTTCTCACATTCTATGTCTATCACAGTGAGTCAATTTCGGTCGTTGTTTACCAACGGCCCTCGGGACTAGGGCAGCTGTTAATATCTATCTATCAGTCTGTTAATATCTATCTATCGCAGTCTATTCATATCTATCTATAGCCGTTTATTCAAATCTATCAATCTATCTAATTATCAATACCAGTCTATTCATATCTATCTATCTCTGTTTATTCATATTTATCTATCTCAGTCTATTCCTATATATATATATATATATATATATATATATATATATATATATATATATATATATATATATGTATGTATGTATATCGGTAATCTATTCATATCTATCTATCCCAGTCTATTCAAATCTATCTATCTATCTATCTATCTATCTATCTATCTATCTATCTATCCCAGTCTATTCATATCTATCCCGGTTTATTCATATCTCTATCCCAGTCCATATATATATATATATATATATATATATATATATATATATATATATATATATATATATATATATCGCAATCTATTCATTATTCTACCCCAGTCTATTCATATCTATTCTATCGTCATCTATCAATCACAGTCTATTCAAATCTATATCAGTCATTTCATAACTATCTATCTTTATTTTTCTTTTTTCAACTGTTTGTGTCTTGTTGCCATTCTTCTCGATGTTCCGTTTATTAAACTTGCACCGGTTCTCCTCCTTTTCTACCTCATCCTCATCCTGCTCCTCTCATTGCCCCCTGCCTTCCTCTATCTTCTGTTTTGCCGTGTAGAAGTACTTAGAACTGATTAGCATTCTAATTAAAGAGACTGCATTTCACTAATGTATTCTCTACTCTGCCTTCTTCTCTTCCTTCCTCCCAAATCTCTCACCCTCACTTTTACTTCCCACCGTCTGGCCATCTGTCTGTTAACCTATTTGCCAGTTTTTATTCTGCCGATGCGTCTGTCCGTAAACCTAATACGCTGATCTCTTGACTTCTCGCAAAGTCTCACGTATCATTCAAATGCTGATTGATAAAAAGCCCGGAAGTTGTACGCGTCTAGCCATGCGAAGACGCACGCGCATGCGTGTTCGTGCGTGTAGTTTTCACAGGACGGAATTCTCTCTTCTTCTTTTTTTTTTTCTTTTTTTTTGTGTGTGTGTGTTTATTATGATTATTTTAATATTACGTTAGGATATTAAGCAATGATGTCGGCTGCTAAAGCTAGGCTACGGGTGACGGCTTTGTGTAGAAAAGAATTTATATTAAAATATTAGACAATTGTGAAAAGCAAAGCTTTTTAATTTGTGTCTGTCACTAGGGAGAGGTGTAAAAGAAAGAAAGAAAGAAAGAAAGAAAGAAAGAAAGAAAGAAAGAAAGAAAGAAAGAATAGGAGAGTGAAATTATAGAAGAGATAAAATGAATTTTCAGTTACAAAAAATGAACAATATTTATAGGTATATACATATGAACAGATAGATAGATAGATAGATAGATAAAAATAAACAGACTAGAAAAGAAAGAAAGAAAAAAAGAAAGAAAGAAAGAAAGATGAACAGAGTGGGATAGATAGATAGATAGATAGATATAAATGAACAGTCTAAGAAAGAAAGAAAGAAAGAAAGAAAGAAAGAAAGAAAGAAAGAAAGAAAGAAAGATGAACAGAGTGGGATAGATAGATAGATAGATAGATAGATAGATAGATAGATATAAATGAACAGTCTAAGAAAGAAAGAAAGAAAGAAAGAAAGAAAGAAAGAAAGAAAGAAAGAAATGAAAAGACTGGAAGAGATAGATAGATAGATAGATAGATAGATAGATAGATAGATAGATAAAAATAAACAGACTAGAAAAGAAAGAAAGAAAGAAAGAAAGAAAGAAAGAAAGATGAACAGAGTAGGATAGATAGATAGATAGATAGATAGATAGATAGATAGATAGATAGATGACTTTCCAAATCCAGTAGTAATGCACTTAAATATATTCTCGCCCATGGGCAGCCACTTCCGATTATTACTAAAAACGCTTCTGTTTTGTCTTTCATGTTTTCCTTTCATATTCTTCCCTCCCTTACCAAAAATACACGCTCGCACAATCATATACACAAACAGTGACCACAAGCTCTTCTTACACACATTACACGTCCGCTTATCCCTTATATATGTTTTCACAATTTTACTTTCTTTCCCTTTCTCTTTTCATCTTCCTCTCTCTCTCTACAATCAGCTTTTTACCATTTACCCTACCCTACTCTCTCTATATATATCTGTGCCTTTTTTTTATTTTAATAAGCTTCATTTATCTTTCTGTTTATCTTCGTGAATCTTCTATCTATCTATCTGGGTTTTTTTTTTTAATTTTTATCGGAATAATTCTGGTGATAAGATAATTTGGATAAAAAGAAAACAATTGGAAAATATTTTTTCAATAAGTTACTATTCAGATGGTGACTTAAACTAGAGCGGTCCTTGTATATTTGAATTTAATGGAACTAAAAAAAACATATCGCTTTTAAACTTGCTTTGATAAAGTCGGATTGACGAAACGTGTTAGCAGTGACTAAGATATTTTCCAATTGTCTTCTTTTTATTCTTCCTATCTATCTATCTATCTATCTATCTATCTATCTATCTATCTATCTATCTATCACAGTATCTTCTCTACCTATCTTTCACTTTATCTATCTATCTATCGATCTATCTTTCACTGTCTCTTATCTATCTATCTATCTATCTATCACAGTCTCTTTATCTTTCTTTCATTGTCTCTTCTGTTTGTCTCTATCTAATTATCTATATTTTGCTGTCTCATCTATCTATCTATCTATCTATCTATCTATCTGTTTGTCTGTCTATCTATCAATCACTGCCTCTTATCTATCTATCTATCTATCTATCTATCTATCTATCTATCACAGTTTCTTTACCTATCTTTCCGTCATTGTCTCTTCTTTGTTTGTCTATCTAATCTATCTATTTATCTATCTTTCACTGTCTCTTCTATCTATCTATCTATCTATCTATCTATCTATCTATCTATCTATCTATCTATCACTGTCTCTTATCTATCTATCTATCTATATATATATCTATCTATATATATATGATTGGGTTATTTTAAGGGTGAGTGGAAAGTTGATTTGATACTATAATTGGAAGACAGATATGAAGAAATGATATCATTGAAGGATTTTGACAATTAGAAATTAAGTCTTGGGATGCGTGAAATGATGGCTTGTTGTGAATATTCGGGTTGATGTATTTTAACGTTTCTGTATAGGTATCCTGGTTGGCAATTTCCAATTATTTCATTGATTTTCAAGGAACCTACGTCGACAGTGATGTTATAAGTTTGTTGAAATATTTTTTAGGGTCTCTCTGGTGGTTTTTAGCGGATTGGATGGAAGAATCGGAGAGCCGAGTTCTGGATTCTAGTCAAATCCATTACATTCACTTACGTGCTAATACCCTTGAGAAAGGTAAGAATCCTCTTCTTCTCCCCCCCCCACCACCAAGATATGGGTAAATAGCAAGACTGACCAGATTCTATAGACTTGGATGACAACTGATCTACCGCAGAAGGAAATGGCAACCTACCACAGAAAAAGATCTGCCTCGTCAGTCATGTATTGAAAGATACATGATCGCCTAAGCGTGTATCACGCATGGCACATAACTGTCTGATATTCACTTACGTACTAATAGCCTTGGGAAAAGTATGAATTCTCTTCTCCACCACCCCAGCTATGGGTAAATAGCAGGACTGACCAGATTCTATAGACTTGGATGGCAACTGGTCTACCGCAGAAGGAAATGGCAACCTACCACGGAAAAAAATCTGCCTCGTCAGTCATGTATTGAAAGATACATGATCGCCTACGCGTGTATCACGCAAGGCATATAACTGACTGATATTCACTTACGTACTAATAGCCTTGGGAAAAGTATGAATTCTCTTCTCCACCACCCCAGCTATGGGTAAATAGCAGGACTGACCAGATTCTATAGACTTGGATGGCAACTGGTCTACCGCAGAAAGAAATGGCAACCTACTGCGGGAAAAAAATCTGCCTTGTCAGTCATGTATTGAAAGATACATGATCACCTACGCGTGTATCACGCAAGGCATATAACTGACTGAAATTAGGGCCGAACAAGGATGTTTTGTAAGTTTTTATCATAAATTTTTCTAAAATTAATTATGTATTAGCAAGATCGCCTCATCTGATGACGATATTAGAATTGGTTTTTTTTTTTTTTTTTATTATTTCGCAGCAGTTTTGAGTTTTATTGGTAAAATATTGTTATGCTTATCACGAGTTCTTTTAGTCCCACTGCTTTGAGAAAATCCCTTAAGTCCGAATAGAGTTTTATTACTTTATCAGCTTCAAGTCGGGATACTGACTGGTGGAGAATTTCAATTTCGGACCTTTTGGGAGGTCAAATTTAAGCAGGAGATGGCAATTTTTATCCTAAATTTACGAATTCCTTCTGGTCATCTGTTAATTCATGGCTGGTAGATTTATATATTTACCAAATTACAGAGAACTATAAATTCACACGCCCCTTCAGGAACTGTGTTTCTGATCAAACCAAATCAATGAATAATTGTATTGGACACACCACTACATCCCTATGAAGGAGACTCACGATTCACCTCTCTGACCATAGCTCAATTAGGACAATAACCTCATCCACATATAAAAAATAACTAAAATTAATGGAATCACTAATAATAATAAATAAAGCTAACACACAAAAAGATCAAATATGAACACGGTCACAATGTGTTGACCATCTTTGGAAAATAATAAAACGTTTCCATCATTCGAGAAAATATAAATAAATCTACACATCCAGTTAAAAATGAAAAAAAATTAAAATATCCTTTATAATGCTTAATAAAATAGGCGAAAACGCTCAGATGTATAAAACGTTTGGATAATTTTACATGTTTATATCCAGTAAAGAAAATGCCATCTTTAATGAAACCTGTATAAATGAGAGATTGCTGGCTAAATACTCAATTATATATATATATATATATATATATATATATATATATATATATATATATATATATATATAAATAATATATATATATATATATATATAAATATATATATATATATATATATATATAAGTATGTATATATAAATAAAATTGCTTGAGGATATAATGGAATTTAATTACAAAATTAAATTGAAGCTTTTAGCTTACATTTTGAAACATGGTTAGAATTGTGTAGCGAAACCATATTTTAAATCAGTTAATTTAGAATATATATATATATATATATATATATATATATATATATCCAAGTCTGTTCTTATCTTCTTCTTAATATATATATATATATATATATATATATATATATATATATAGAGAGAGAGAGAGAGAGAGGCAGACCTAGACTTTTTTCATATCTATCTTTTCTCTGTATATATATCACTCTGTTTTATCTATCTATGCATTCTCATCTATCTATAAACTTATCTTTCTGTCTATTTCACTATTTTCTTTCTATCTCTGTCTCTGTCTCTCTTTCTCTTTCTTCTCTCTCTCTCTCTCTCATATATATATATATATATATATATATATATATATATATATATATATATATATATATATATATATATATATATATATATATATATATAGATATATATATATATATATATATATATATATATATATATATATAGAGAGAGAGAGAGAAAAAAGAAGAGAAAAGAAAGTGTGAGAGGTAGGTTTTCATTTGTATCTTCCGTGTTTGTACATCAGTCTATCTGTTTATACTATTTCAACGTTTTCGTATCTATCTATCTATCTATCTATCTATCTATCTATCTGTCCGTTTGTCTGTCTGTCTCTTTCAGCTTTTTCATATCTCACTCTTTTTCATATCTATCTATCTATCTATCTATCTATCTATCTATTTTCCTATCTCTCTGTCTAATTCATCTTTTTATCTATCTAATTCAATCTGTTTTACTGTCTATGTTTCTCTCTTTCTCAACGATCCCCCCCCACTCACTTTTCCCGGTTCTTCCATCATTAATTTATCGTTTCCTATCTTTGACGGCCACCAATTATCTTGAATCTTTGAAAATAAAAAGTTACAAATAAAACTTCCCTTGCTCATTAGAGCGACCGACAAGTTTTATGGAGGAATTTGAAAGCAATGATAGCGTAGAGCGGGTCTTTTTCTACGTGGAGGAGGTGGGGGAATAAAAACCTCAACCGATAATCGATGGTCGAATCAGACGCTGGCCCCAGGGCAAGAAATCATGGCGTCCTTAGTCTAGGGATTTGGCAACTTCTATTCAGATAGTCTCTATTCCGTCCGCACGACCCGACCTACGGAGTTTCCATGACTTCTTTTATTCTGATGCAATTCCTTCTTTCTCACCTGAGATATTTCTTTCTTTCTTTCTTTCTTTCTTTCTTTCTTTCTTTCTTTCTTTCTTGCTGTCTTTACTTCCTTTCTTTTCTTCTTTACTATCTTTCTTTACTTCTTTCTTTCTTTGTGTATTTCTTTCTTTGTTGCTTTCTTTCTTTCTTTCTTAATTGATTTTTCTTTTATTCTTGTCTTTCTTCTTTTTCTTTGTCTTCTTTCCTTCTTTCGTCCGATCTTTCTTGTCTGCCATTTTTTTCTTACTTTCCTGTTTCTTTTTTCTATATTTTTTGTATTTCTTTTCTTCTTTCTTTCTTTCTTTCATTCTTTCTTTCTTTCTTTCTTTAGCTGTCTTTCTTTCTTTCTTTCTTTCTTTCACTGTCTTTCTTTCTTTCATTCTTTCTTTCTTTCTTTCTTTAGCTGTCTTTCTTCCTTTCTTTCTTTCACTGTCTTTCTTTCTTTCATTCTTTCTTTCTTTCTTTCATTCTTTCTTTCTTTAGCTGTCTTTCTTTCTTTCTTTCATTCTTTCTTTCTTTAGCTGTCTTTCTTTCTTTCATTCTTTCTTTCTTTCTTTCTTTCTTTAGCTGTCTTTCTTTTTTAAGCTTTATTTTTAACAATTTTTCATTCTTTTCTTTTCCGTCATTCTTTTAATCCTTCTCTCTAACATTTCCTTTTTCTTTTCTTCCTTCCTTTTTCCTTATTTACCTTGTTTTTTTTTCTTTTTTTTTCTATCTCTCCTTTCGTTCCTCTTTTCTTTCATTTCTCTTATTTTTTTTCTGATTTCTCTTCTTGCTTCGTTTCTTTTTTCTTTCTTTCTTTCCTTCCTTTTTTATTTTCTTTTTTCTTTTCTTTTCTTTCTTTCTTTATTTATATCTACTTTTATTTTCTTATCTTCTTTTTTCTTTCTTCTTGTCTTTCTTTCTTTTTTCTTTTCTCTCTCTTTTCTTTCTTTCATTTATTTCCTACTTTTTTCACCTTTTATTTCCCTCTTTCTTGCCTTCTTTTTCTTTTTCTTTATTCTCACTCTTGCTTTCCTTTTTACTTTTCTCTAATTTGATTCCGATTTTCCGATTTAGTTTTCTCTTCTCTTTTTCTTTTTTCTTTCTTTTTTCTTTCTCTTTCTCTTCTCTTTTTCTTTTGTTTTTCTTTTTTCTTTCTCTTTCTCTTCGGCTTTCTTTTTTCGTTCTTTTTTCTTTCTGTTCTGTTTTCTTTTTTCTTTCTTTTTCTTTTTTCTTTCTCTTTCTCTTCTGTTTTCTTTTTTGATTTTTTTCTTTCTCTTTCTCTTCTGCTTTCTTTTGTCTTTCTTTTTTCTTTCTTTTTATTTCTTTTTCTCTTCTTTTTCTTTCTTTTTCTTTCTTTTTCTCTTCTGCATTCTTTTTCTTTCTTTTTCTATTTCTTTCTCTTCTGCTTTCTTTTTTCTTTCTCTTTCTTTCTCTTTCTCTTCTACTTTCTTCTTCTTTCTCTTCTCTTTTCTTTTTTCTTTCTTTTTTAATTTTTTCTTTCTCTTTCTCTTTCTTTTTTCTTTCTTTTTCTTTCTCTTTCTCTTCTCTTTTCTTTTTCTTCTGCTTTCTTCTTCTTTCTCTTTCTCTTCTCTTTTCTTTTTCTTCTGCTTTCTTCTTCTTTCTCTTTCTCTTCTCTTTTCTTTTTCTGTCCTTCTTCTCTTGCTTCCTTTCGTTTATTTCTTTCGTTTCCTTATTTCATTCTTCTTTGCTTTCCTTTTTATTCTTTCTCACTTTCTTTTTTTCTTCCTTTTTTTCCTTTTTATTGTTCTTTCTTTCAAACATTTGTGGCTTCCTTTTATATATTTTTCTTCTTTCTTTTCTGTCACGTTTTTTTTCTTTCTTCCTTTCTTTCTTTCTTTCTTTCTTTCTTTACTATTCAGTCATATTTCTTTTTCTCCTGTTCTTTCTTTCTTTCTTTGTTTATTTTCTTCTTTTCTTTCTTTATGCTTTTCCCATTTTCCTTTTTTCTTTTTTTTCTTTTCTTTTTCTTTGTTCCCTTTTTGCCCTTTTTTCTTTCTTTCTCTCATTTCTGCTCTACTTTTCCTTTCTTTCACCCTCTTTTATCGTATTTTCATTTCTCTTTTCCTTTCTTTTCCATGGTTTTTCTTTTCTCGAACATTCTTCCCCCATTTCTTGTTTCTTTCCTTCAATTAAAATCTACAGCTTAAAGTACATCGGTATTCACATGCACAGATATCTAAAGCAATTAAATTCTGACAACACGATACGGCAAGGGTAGGCTCTGTCGTTAAAGTATTGCCCCAATAGCCACGAGGTTTACGATTCAACACACTTCAAAAATGTTCCTCTCATAGAAAAAAGCAAGAAACAAATTATTAAATTGATTTCAAAAGTCAATAGGGCAACCCATATTAATTTGTAAGCCTTTAATTGTATAATGGCTAAGCCACTGAAGACGCGACTGAGAGGAATGTCTTAAAATTACACATTTACCAATACCTTATGCATTCAGGATTCTCTAAGGAAGATATTCCTCCTATCTCTTGACTCCCAACATTGAAGCATTTACCACCCCACTTCTTCACTCTCTTTATTCTTTCTCTCTCTCTTTCTCTCTCCCGCTGTTTTCGTTTTTGTCTTTCTTGTAATTAACCTTGCTGGTATCTTCTGATGAGTGGAGGGAACGATTGTTGGACGGTCTGTCTACGAACTTCTAGAGTCGAGACGCTGAAAATAGCATCAATCATCTAAGTGACAAATTTTCACATTTGTATCAATCTTTCCTGCTTAGAAACAAACAGTCAGACTACTATCACGCAGGGATGCAGAATTATTTTCAACTCGGAACTAATTTAACTCAAAACTAATTTTAACTCGGAATTAATCTCAACTCGGAACTAATTTAAACTCGGAACTAAATTCAACTCGGAATTAATTTCAACTCGCAACTAATTTGAACTATTTTTTTACATTGTAACTTGTAATAGAGTTCTCTTATTTACATGCGTGTAATCTGTGAAATCCTCAATACACAGATTTAAATTTCAATAAATCTGTGAAGTTTTCAAACTAAATTAAAATTTAATTTATTGATTATCTTAAATTTTGATCAATAACGACTTCTTTTGAACGAGCGATTCCCCCCCCTCAAAAAAAAAAAAACAGCTAAGCCATCTATTGTTCTTGCTACCAAGAACATTGCATTTTATTGGATCAGATTTAAATGAATAAAAGTAGATAAAAAAAATACCACTTTATTCACTTAAAAGAAAAAAGAATGAATGTTGCAGAAAAGATGAATTCTGAATTGTCTACAAAGGATTTTTAAGGTTAAATTAAAAAAAGAATTCACACCAACTCATTGCATTTTGTTTAGGAATTTCACGGAAATTGAGGACTTTGATTTTAAATCGAGTTGAAATTAGTTCCGAGTTGAAATTAATTTCGAGTTGAAATTTGTTCCGTACTGAAGTTAATTCCGAGATGAAATTAGTTCCGAGTTGAAATTTGTTCCGTACTGAAGTTAATTCCGAGATTAAATTAATTCCGAGTAGAAATTTGTTCCGTACTGAAATTAATTCCGAGATGAAATTAGTTCCGAGTTGAAATTTGTTCCGTACTGAAGTTAATTCCGAGATGAAATTAATTCCGAGTAGAAATTTGTTCCGTACTGAAATTAATTCCGAGATGAAATTAATTCCGAGTAGAAATTTGTTCCGTACTCAAAGTTAATTCCGAGATGAAATTAGTTCTGAGTTGAAATTTGTTCCCAGCTGAAATTAATTCCGAGATGAAATTAGTTCCGAATTGAAATTCATTCTGTCACATATGATTTGATTATAATAGTAAAAGTTTCTTACTGAAAGAGCGACAAACTGGTGCACATAGTTATGACATCTGTCCTTCTTCTATAGCCACCTATGGCTTTAGGGCCCAGTTTGTCCTGCTATTTACCCATACCTGGAGTGAGAAGCGACGCACTCGTACCTTTTCAAGCATATTTGCACGTGAGTGAGTGTAATGAACTCGAGTGGAATTCGAACTCTCCGATTGCTCAATTGGAGTCACTATCCATTATTCTACCGTGCCACTGTGTGTGTCTGCGCGCCCGCATGTATATTGTTAATGAAAAACAACAACAATAACATTTACTCACTTTCGTTTATTAGATATTAAATGACATAATTTACCTTGATATTCACTTAGTTTGAAATATATTTATGAGCGTACTCATTGCGCTGCAAAATTAAATCTTTGCATTTGTCTTGATAAAGTCGCTCAGGGGACGAAACACATCAGCTAATCAAGTTTTACTTTTGTTTTTATTCATATTGTCCTTTTACAGCTATATTTTTAGTTTTATCTGATTTTTACAGACACGCACACACACGCGCACACACACACGCACATATATATATATATATATATATATATATATATATATATATATATATATAGATAGATAGATAGATAGATAGTTAGTTAGAGCCGGCCTTTCTTGACGATCCGCTTAGGTGCAAAACCTTGGTATGTTTGTCTGGCTCTTTAGGTTTAACTAGGTCTGCTCTACTCATTGTATAGAGCACTTTATTTAGTTATTTTTGTTTTTGTTTTTTTTTTTTGGGCCATATATATATATATATATATATATGTATGTATATATTACACCCTAATGCAAATTAATTGAAACAAAACAAATAATTCCGTTATTATTTAGTTCTTTTCCTATTTTTCCAACGAAACATGATCCAATTCACATGTTAGTACTTCTTATGTCCATTCCACGAAATCGTTCATTGCCGATTGACCACAGATTGGATTGGATTTAAATCAGGAAAATTTCCAAGCCAGTCTATAGTACTTTGATTTGCCCACTGGTAAAGCCTGCCAAATGTGTTCGTGCAGCGTTTCAATTTTCGTACGCTTCCTTGGAGTAACGTCCATTGTAAACAAAGGCCGTAGGACAACTAATCGACAGTCGAGACAATAGTGTCTTGGGTGACAGTAATCTGATGCAACTTTTGCTGTGGTTCACTAAAAAATATAAGTCCTAGAAATTTACCGATACAGACATAGAAATGTATTTTTACATATCTCATCAACCGCGTTCATAAAATATATGCTAGAATAAAATAGATAATAAAAAAATCACAGGAATGCCACCTGTAATTTATATAAGTCTTACTAGTAAATATTTAAAAATATCATCATTATCATTATATCATTCTTACATTATACAATTCTGACTAGTAAATATTTTTTTAAAAAATCATTATTATCATTATCATCATTTATGTGTTAAGTTTTTTTTTTTTAAAACGCGAACGGCCATGGCTCTCCAGAACTTTCTGTCCCCTGTAGTTCTAAGCAATGTTTCACTCTTTACCATCCTTCTTTGTCCTAATTCCATTCACTAAATTTACTACTCAATAAATTCGCCATGTTTTCTCGCTGTTTGTCTTCCTTGTCTTGCCTGCATTGTTATTTATTTGTTTGTTTAACGGCATATCAAATAATTATCGGTCATTGAATGCCGAAATTTAATTTTCTTGGGTGCTTTGAAGTAATAAAAATATGATATATGTTATTCTGCTTTCACAATTGAATTCATGGTAGATGATACTCAGCATTTGCGCATATACTTGTTTGCGTGGACATACAGGCAGTGATATGTGGGTTTTATGTTGTAGTTGTGTTGAAGTTATATTTTCGAATAGTTTGATTTCTTGAAGAAATTGTAGGATATTATATGGATTAGTTCTTTCATGTTGATTAATGTATACTTGGTAATTTTGTTTTAGAATTAGGACGGCAAGGGATTATTGGCAGATAGTATTTCATGAAGTATTCATTGAAGAATATTCCACAGAGACTTGTCGTATTTGAATGGGTCATTCGATATAGTGTAAGCATATGAATGATGTAAAATGAAAATAAATAGATAAATAAATAACAGAAAGAAAGAAAGAAAAAAAGGAAGAAAGAAAGAAAGAAAAAGAAAGAAAGAAAGAAAAAGAATCATGGTGATCGTAGCGTTTGATCTCATCGGTATTTTTTCCAAAATACTCAAAAGAGATCAACTGAAAATCTAGCCTGTAAACAAAGGTCATTTTCGTACACGGATCAGGATAATCGTTGATCCGATTGCAATTGAGTTGTCAACTTCTGATTTAAAACTTTTTGGAAATAATGAGACAGATTGTAAAACTTAAAGACACGTTTTTGTCGAACGTGACGCGTGTTAAGTTCGGCTTCTTCAAATCAGAATCTAAAACAAAACTGTGTATCAGGAAAAGGCATTGCCATTTTTAAGGATAAAATTTGATTTGAATTCTTTATTTAACTCCATGCTAACTTCCATATGGATCATTTAATGCCGAAATTTAATTTTCTTTGAAGTAATACAAATATGTTATTCTGCTTTCACAACTGGATACATGGTAGATAATACTCCTATTTTTTCCATATACATGTTCGTGTGGACATAATTACTAGAGGAGGTGATATGTTTGCTTATATTGTAGTTTTGTTGAAGTTATATTTTGGAATAATTTGATCTCTTGAAGAAACTGTAAGATATTATATGGATTAATGTCATGGAAATATTTCTTTCATGTTGATTGATGTATTCTTGGTAATTTTACTATGAATAGGTATCGTAGGTAATTTTTTTTATATAAAAATGTATTGCTACTATTTTTACTATTGAAATGTATTTTTATATTTTCGTAGGATTTTGTTTTTGTTTGCGGGGAGGGGTAATATTTGCCCATAGCTGGAACCCTAACATGTGCTACCACACCGGCTCAGGGTGGACCTTGAAACAACAGGAAACATCCAATCTCTTGATCGGAAACCTTGCTGCTGGATGTAGTATTGCCTGCACCACATCCTGTGAGAGTTAAATTTTCCAAGCCGTCCTTCCTCATTATGTGTACCAGGAATGTCAACTATCTCTTTCTGATTTTAAATAAGAATGTCTTTCTAATTCTAGTATTTTTAGGACTTCCTCATTGCTTAGTTCTATCCCTAATATTCTCAGCATCCTACTGTAGAGAATCATATCTTTGTAGCTTTGAGGTTTTTTTGCTTTAGCTCTAAGGAAATCGTCCAGCACTTATTTCTTTGAATCTAACTAAATCTTTTTCAATACTGTGCTTATTCGGATGCGACTTTAAACTATTCTAGTTCCA